CTTTCTGCCTGCCGTATATCTCAGAGGAGTTGAGCAAGACGGTCAGAAGATTGGTACTACACGCGGACCTCCAGGATTGGATAAGGGTAGTTGACATACCCCCTACAAACCTCAAACATCAGCTAGTACGAAATAGGGCATATGATAGGCTTTGCATGACTCCAGGATGCATCATATGCCCGCAGGCAGGGAAGGCGACTGCATGGTTGCGGGGGTGGTGTACCTTATCACCTGTCAGACATGTGGAGGCACGTACATCGGCGAGACGGGGCGGCCCATGTATACGCGTAAAAGAACACCTAGACGCGCTCAAAAAATCGAACATGGCAACTCCACTGGGCAAGCATCGCAGACAGTTCCATAATGACGCAGAGATACGCGTGGAGGTCACGATCTTGGCGTACGAATCCGAAATCCTAGCGCGCAAGACTTTAGAAGCGTTTTGGATTGCCGCCAAAAATCCAAATTTGAATAGGAAAGATGAGTGCATGGACATCACTAATGAGTTGGCGCCTTATCAGAGCCTTTGCGGCTTCTGAAGTCAATTTGAGGCCAGGCGAATAGGTATATAAGAAAGTAAGAGCTCAGTTACTGGTATAGTGGTCTGCAATACCACTTTGTCGGCATCTGTTTAGGTGAGCATTAGTTTAATCCTGCATTCACTTTCTAGTTCTTGATTCACTGACGCATTGGGCGTTTTCCTAGGTCATGAGGCGGTTTTTGATAGGATAGTTCACTTATGCATTCGATGATTTCAGACTCTGAAGAAGGCGATACCGCCGAAACGTCAGTCGAATAAAGGATATACCAATCCCGGTGTCCAGCTAAACAAGCCACAACAAGCATTTGCAACATGCCGAGATTAATCGAGAGTCGAACTTGGACAAACATTCACATACCTTGGTTACAGTATATATAAAGGCAATTTTGTGACGGCAATCCAACCTTCAATTCTTTCTCAATATTCTTTTTCAGATTTCAGCCACTTTAGGAACTTCCGGGAGCATTAGTAATAATATTTTAGAAGCTCAAGCTTTTTGAAAAAGTTGGAAGTTGGCTAAAAATTATTCGAAAAGATCTTAATCAAGTATTTAGTATTTCTTGTGTGACATGTATATATCGGTAAACCACAACTCTACTTAAATTGAAGCAACAAAAGACCCTTGTAAAAAATTAAAAAGTTCTAAGTGTAACAAAACCTATGTTACGAACTTATGCATTGATGTTACAAACTGATGCATTACTTGTCCGCGCAATCGAGCAGCATTCGTATAGACTGAGGATTCTATTGAAATTTGATATGCATTCAAAAAAGCAAGAAAAACGCTTCGTAAAAATACAATTAGTAAAGATGAAGATCTTTTAGAACAGCTGTTTCAAGCATAAAATAACAAAAATCGGACAGAACTTATGCAGCCGCTTAATACAAGGCCACCAGCAGTACGAAAGAAAGTACAGTCGACGTCCACATCAATGTTGGGATCAAGGATCCGCACTCCTCCCTCCCCCCTTTTTTTTACCACAGTGTGGACAAGACGGTCAGAAGCCTCATACACCAATTTTTGCAGATCTTCATGTGTCTCTTGATGGCAAGAAGCCGGTGGACGGCTGTAGAGATGTGGAAAACACAACTTGAGGTGCACGCATTGAAGACATTGAAAGCTAACATATGGATTTGGGATTTCAAACGATGGCACGATCCAGGCGCAAGCACGCAGATCAAAAAGACCATTCCCTTCATATAATATCGCATAATCAAACCAGTGAAGCCTTCCAGAACTGCTGTGCGACAAGCAAATTCCATCCAAGCTGAAATCCAAGATGTACAGCACCGTGGTGGGCCCATTTGGCTGGAGACCGGTGACGGCAGAGTGGGCGCTGCATCCACGGGGCGGCGCACGCGGTTCATGCCGGGACTCATTGCTGCCAGTTGTGCACGTCTCTTTCAGTTTTGCTCTCTTAGTGCTGCAGTGTCAAACTATATGATCGTCTTCCATATCCATATGGAGGAAGCTTGTGGACCTTTTCTGATTAAAAGGATGATCAACGAGAAAGTACGAAAAGCAGTGCTAAGTGGAGGCTCAAGGAGTTCACCCTTATTATCAGGAAAAGTCAGTGACCCCCCTCCACACGATTCTGGGAGCCGATGATGGCTATTGCCTTTCATTTATGCTTTTCCTGAATTTGATTCGATGATGGCAAGATGTGCCATATGTCGTCGAGTTGGGTACTGAGGTAGTGCAGCAGCTACAAATTGTGCTGGACTGTTAAAGAAAGGTTAAAGAAAGCGCCAAGCTGTGGAGGTTAGCAGGATAAATTGCGAGGGAGAACAAGGCTTCCACTTCTACCTAGGCGCATCGTTTTTTTTGTATGCTTAATCTAACACTTTACAAGTTCTGTGGTGTGAAGACATTATATCTGACCATTCTCAGTTTTTTTCCTAATTAGAATTTTCTGCTATTTGGATTATCTAGCTCCCTGCAAATAGTGCGCAGAGCCTCTTGTTTTTGCGTACCAAAGCGTCATGTGGAAAACGATAGGAACAGGAAACCGCAAAATCACATAAACCAAGTAGTGATACCCGACTACAATGAATGAAGACTTGCCAATTCAAGATTCTGAACAAACAACTTTTGGAAAGTGTCAGTTCAAGAGCAAAGGTAGAAGCGTTAGAAAAACACAGTACAGAAACTCAAAAAGAAAGAGGACTGCAGTAAACATAGCAGCTATTTATATACGCAACCTGTGAGAAGACAAAAAAGGTTCATTCATTGAAGCACAAAATTAAGTCCTTGAATAAACTATTTGCACTGAGACACATTGAGATCAGGGTCAAACGTGTTGATACGATCCGGGACCCCCCAAATACGACCCCTATTCCATGAAAGAACCCATCCGTACGACCCCGCGCCCCATCTATCCCCCTCCCCCCATTTACCCCCCATACCTCCCCTGCCCACATTCCTCGCGGTAACCTGCATAAGCGAATGTCAATCTCAAAAAACACCTGCGTGAGAACTTCAGTGAGGTTTCAGAAGCAGAATTTCTAGGCCAGTGGGTGCGCCCAGCATCTGTAGCACACATACGCACCTTCAATAGTGTTTGAAATTCTGCAAATTTTTTTTTGAATTTTCAGGCATACTTCAGGCCAATAGATTCGGTTACCGTATGCAACACAAATTTTTGCATGGAGAAAAAAAGCATTCTTAAACTACAAAAGATATTTCGACCAAGAAGCTTACTTTCTACCCCTTGCACAGTCTTTCCTGCGAAAAAAATCGCTTTAGCTGTAGTACAGTGCCCAGTTTATATATAGAAAAAGTTTCAGCCCTTGAGGAGCAGTGAGCTCGAAAAAATCTAGATCAGGCTCTCGCAAATTTAGATGCGATCCTAAAAAGCAAAAACTGGGAATTTCGAGCTTAAAATTTTGCAACTTACCAGAGAAGTTATGAAACAGCCTGAAATTCTTGTACTAAAAACTAGAGGGATGCCTCGTATTACAGCAAGTTTGCAGCTAACAAGCTTCAATAACTCCGGAGAAATTTAGATCAGACGCAGATACGACCCCCCCCCTTTTTTTCATTTTTTGCTACCATACATAGAATCATAAGAAAATCCACAGTTTATAAAATAACACCAAATTTCGCACAGCAGTAGCAGGGCTTATCTAAAGTACAGATAAATCATATGGATCCGTGAAAAATATTACAAAAAGATTTAGAATTCATGATGGTCACAGCTGGTAAAGATATCCGCTTTTGTCGAGTGTGTGAGACTTCAGGAAGGCTTCAGAAGCAAGATTTCTAGGGCAATTGGTACATTTATCATTCTTATCAAATCATACATCCTTCAAAAGTGTTATGAGCTCTTGTATGTTTTTTTTGAGAATTTCTACAGATTTTTTATCTTTTTCATTCTGATTTCCACTTTTTTATAGATTTATTGTAAAGAGCATAGCTAATTATCTGATTTGATTCTCTTTTGATCTAGGGTATTTCAGCTTGACTACCTCCTCTTACGACCCCCCCCCCCCACCCCTCACCTTAGCTATCCTCTTTACGACCCCCCGTTGCGACAGTCGCATCATAACTTGACCCTGATTGAGATACGAATCTAACAATGAGTATGCGATGATTGTTCGCGATGTGTTTCCTTCTTTCTTCTGGCCCGAGTTACTCACTACATACTGCTCATACTCCTCCTTAGTAGAATTCAAATGCTAGGCAGAGCGGTGATTTTGAAACAAAACTAGCAAGATACAAAGTAGTTATCTGGCTACGATTTCAAATTGTCCTTCTGGATCGTTAGCTTTCAGTTCTCAAGATTCTTCCACGTCGCTTTTGGAGTAATAAAAAACAACCGACAATTGAAAAAAACCGACGAACTTTCTCTTTATGTCTAACCGAAACTTCGCGCTTCAACAATCAAAAAGTGAGCTTGCAGTGGAGGAACGCTAACACCGGCTGCTAGCGTAACCTAACACAGGAAGAAGGACATCCCTGCACGAACCGCGTGCGCCGCCTCGCGGATGCAATGGCCCACTCAGCGGTAGGCATTACGTAGCCTCACCATTCACCATAAAGGCAGCATACGAACAACGTGAAAGTGGCGATCAAGAAAGTGTAAGAAAAGCGTCTAAAATGGTACAGACATGTGAGAAAGCCTGAAGAATACTCGTTGGATTGTGAATGTCAGCGGAGGTTCCCCAGCAGATGACGACGGGGAAGACCGAAGCCACGACGAACGGAGAGTCATGACTTGAGAAAGCTTGAGACAGGTGTACATCAGGCCGGCTGTGAAACAGACTTCATATGGAAATAATGCAAGGCTAAAGATAAAGGTTAGGTTTGAAAACGAATTGCTTCGATTATTGACAATTTTCGATCAAGTCGATGGGGTAAATTTAGAGGACTTCTGGAAAGTTGTTGGGAAAAGTTTATTTTTTTTACTTGGTTACGTCTTATAATCGAGTAGACCGGACAACGAAGTTTGGTGCTTACCATTTGCCGCTTCCACATCGAACGATGGGGCTTCCGATGCATTTGACATCTGCAATAAAGCAATGTGCGGTTATGAAACAGCAACATTTTTCACGAGACGAGTCAATGTGTCTTATCCATATGTTTAAAGAGAAGGAATAATAGAAAACTAGAGAAGAGGACCTTTCGGCTTACAAAGGAGGAACTCGAGATTGAAACAGCCAATCACTACGAACTGCATACCGTTAGTGAGGACTCGAGCGCTGATTCCAAATCTGCTCTCACTATCTGCAGAGCACCATTGGTAAGAAAGTTATGCTCAGACAGTCGACGGCATACCTCTGGAGCAGAGATGGCCGAGCCGCGGGGTTTTCCCAACTGGGACACTCGTGCTCCGGAGCCCATTTGTGCTCCGGAGGCCTCCCATTTCTGTGCCGGAGCCCTCCCATTTGTGCTCCGGAGACCTCCCATTTTGTGCTCCGGAGGCCTGCCATTTTCTGCTCCGCGGCTCTCCCAAATCTGGCGTACCTCCGGAGCATTTGCGCGTCCCGGAGAAGGTCGCCTGCTTGTGACGTCACCGTGACCTACAAGAAGGGACCGCCCCCTTGCCCCGCTCTCATTGGTCGCTCTGCCAGATTTCGACTGTCTGCCGCGACTACGGCCCCGACTGTCTGAGTGAGCATTCGTTAGGGAGAAAAGAAGTGATGGTCGAGCTAGAATCATTTGTTACAGATTTTCTGGAAGTCGGGAAATGGGAAGTGTTTACATATTAGACAGAAGGATTTACTGTAAGAAGTATTCTGACATTTATCGCTGCTTCATTCAAAACCTAAAGAGACTGTAGCGAATGGTTCTATCCCGGCCAACAATTTCGTCGCAATAAATGTTCATAACTTTCTTCTTAAGGGGACTTTGCAAATAGGGAGAGCAGATTTGGAATCAGAACTTCAAGCCCTTACTATGATGTGCAATTTGTTGTGATCGGACACTTCGACTTCGCGACCTTCCCTTATCAGTCGACCAATTTTCAAATATAGTTTCCCCAAATCTCTCAGTGGGAAGTAAAAAGGGCAGAACTTTACAACCCAGTGCTTAACTATTCCACTGACAAGAATCGGGGTGCAATCAGAGTCAACAAAGAGCGGCTTAATCTGGTTGTTCCTTTGAGGATCTCCCTTTACATCAAGCTCGCTTCACCTCAATGTACTCGCAACGTCTGCGTCCATAATAAGTTGGCACAAATGTTCCTGCGCAAATTGAACAAATTTCAAGAACGTTTCAGTCCGAGTGAACTACAGGTTCTAGAGAAGGCGATTACCGAATTGTTAACGTGAATATTAAAGCAGTCTAACAATTTGGTGTATGGCTCAGTCAATCGCCCGAAGATATTAGATTCATCAGATTTCTCGAGAGTCGAACAGTACATCTACTAAAATAAGCAGTTCAAAAGTTTTGATGCTTTCCAAAATATACACGGGCCTTCATTTCGGAATTTTGGAAAAAAGACGTGGGCAACGCCACAGAAAAATTACAAGGAGCAAATTGAAGTTCAACTCAGTGCAAAAAATTTTGTAGAGACAAGTCATTTGCATAATTTTCTAACTTGTGCAAACCAAAAGCTCATAAATCTCGTTTCCCATTCTTGAAAGAAGGGATGAGGGGTGCTTGTATTTTTCATGAGAACCTTCGAGCAACACAGCTTTGCTAAGTAAAAGTAGCTCATAAAAGGTAATACTCCCACTCCTATTCCACATATGTTCAATAAATTTTGGTGGCCTATCGCGGAGGACACTTAGTGACTTTCTTCTTCTACCCGGAAACCCACTTATTGGTTAAAGAAAAAGCCAGCAGACCTTCATAAACTAAATGTTTATCTTGTAACAAAATTGACAACGTCCGAATCCGTTCAAATGGCAACAGCTGTAGATGGTTGAGTTAAAATTAGAAAAGAATTGCGAGTATAGCAAAGATGAAGGAAAATTATTGGCAGTAGCTTAGAAGTTGAAGAAAAACGAGTTGGTAAAAACGTCAACTGCCTTATATGGCGGCTGTTTGGTATCGGTACGTCAATTCCCTTGACAGTTCGACTCGTGTTTTGAATGTATGATTCACTACGTCTTATCATGCGTCATTTTTTTCTGTCTAATCTCGACACACACGATCGAAATTTTTGAGAGACTGAATAGATCAAAAGGTTAAATGTAAAAAAAAATATTTGTACACTTATGGACACAGAAAAACCATAATAATTTCCTCTGTAGCGAGGTCATTACGGTTTGGTAAATCGTAGAATTACGCAATTTGAAACACTTCTGAGACTATTGTATCGAAAGAAATAACGATCTGAAACATACAATAAAATGTACCAATTTCATACCTAACCAAAAATAAGCGGACGCCCAAATTAATAATCTAATGCCGTCATCACTTCCAATCTAACACTGTCAATCTGACGGAAAAAATTATCTAAGAAGAAGTAATCAATAAAGAGTTCTGATTGTAAATATACTCTAGGCATTAGCTTTCACAGACAAATGTTGGCTGTTCCTCCGCCAACAGCTCAAATCAGCAACCTGCAATAGCCAAATTTCCAAAAAGCAAGTGCATCAGCAATTCAAAGGTAAGTTAAGCAGGCGCGCGCTGGGACCCGTCGCGGTTTCCCGCCATCTGGTGTTTTTTAAACTGGCGTTACGATTCTTTCTAGAGCGGAATTTTCTTCGATTTGTTGTCATTTTCCAGACATGAGCTACTAGCTATTTATTTTTGAAAACCAAACATAATTTATTACAGCACAATTCTCTCAACCTGTGAAATTATGCTAACAATAAGTACATTGAAGCCACTACTTCAGAGACCGCACGCATAACTTTACAATGCCAACAAAAGGATATCAAACAAGAATATGGGATATGTACAAAGAGAGGAGAAGATGAATAAGCTTTGCGCGATAATAAAAAATGTTATATCTGAAACTCTGATACATAATAATGCTAAACCTGCACATTGATGTCCCACTCGCATTCTTGTCATTCATGCACTCAAAAACGATAAAATCTGTGGATAGTACAGAAAAGGCTAAAAGTTGTGAAATTTTTTTAGAAAGTATGTTTTGTGGAAAATTATCAAATTTAAGCATTAGGCATGCGTTCATCATTCGGTTTGCGGCAACATATACAACAACAACAGCAGCAGAAAAACATACATGTAAGGAACATAAGCACATAACTGACTGTAATAAAAACGAAAGTGAATACGAATGTCAGTTGATCACAATAGTAAGGTCCATCGTGCGGGTCGTAGCTGACGTGATTGTATGCCCAGTAGACCCATATAGAACCCAAAATGAACCTGTAAAATGATATCGGTCACTTTCTCAGACAAAACCCCTCAAATTCAGCAGGAATATCTTTATGAATCGCGAATCTTTCAAAAGTAGCCCGCTTTCATGGTTTATAGAATTGGCAAATGACCTTTATAAAGTATAATGTTCAAAAACTTTGGAATTCAAATTAGCTTCATGAGAAAAGTGTTCAGTTGCTTGGCTGCCCCTTCTTTCAGAATTTTGGGGTTATGGGTCCATAAAAAATCCAGAGCATCCCAAGAAATTTTCAGTGTGGCTAACGCAACGCCTCTATCCACATGCGGTTTTCGGATAGTAACTTCGCTTAGCACGAGAAAAGAGATAAAGCGTACAGAAACAAGTTTTCGCTGCAAGAATTAACTAAGGCTTCTACGAAAAAAAAATCACAGCAGCAGTCAAAGAGCCGATTCATAACTAAGCTGACTAAAAGGTTTCGTCTCACTCGTCTGTCTATACTGTTTCAATCAACAGTACCGCACAAGCATGCATGGAACCTGCAAAACCATTTGCGGTCCGAGGTCATTTTTGGGGAGAGGGAGGGGGAAGAGCGGGGGGGGGGGGGGGGGGTGAGTGCGACATTTTATTTAGAACAGAGTAGCTTGGCATCAACCATACCCTCCGAATTTTTTGGGATATTTTGAAGAAATTTAGTTGACCTACAGCAAGAAAATAAAAGAAAAGCGGGCTTTGCTGCAGCAACACCTCAAAATTTTACAAAGCTTATTCAAGATTTGAATCTTCAAAAATTTCTAAAAACTATTTTGATCTTTGCAGGTGAACCGATTTCGGCAAGAACCACAGCTCGCTCGAAATTTGTACTGTGGGCGTATACAACATTATCCATATTCGATACTTACCAAATTGCGAAGAATACACTTAACATTCCATCAAAAAGTCGTACCAAGATCGGTCGCCGCTGCTTTTGTTGGTCCTAAAAGACAGCTTTACTTTCAGCATTTTGCACTTGTCACATCGAAGTGACTTTTTAGAAGACTTTCAACTACGTCTACTACATACAACGTTTAATCGCAAGCTTTGGTTGCCACTTGCATGTATTAGTCCCAAAATATGGAGACATGCTGCTTTTGATGGAACTAGATCGCGTCAAACTTCTCGTGCCTGGTAATTTAAACCAAACAAGACCGGAAAGACGTAGGAAACGTAGCTATAATCAAAGGGTCACTACTGGCTGCGTTTCAAAGTGAAGTTGCAAGCTGCGGCGTTCTCACTGTCAGACAAAAATAGACAAAAAATTCATGCATACCTTGAACCTATAGAAGAAGTTGATAGCACTGCGAACTAGGGACACAATACCGGTGACGATCAACCAGACCGGGATATTTGAGTTCACCGCACAATCATCTCGATTGAGTGCACCAATAATTATCATCAGAATCGGCACGATATTCAGGACCGCCAACACCACAGCAGCAGCCACTGGAAATATTTTTGAACCCAGGAATCTCCTTATTACTTTCTCAAAATATGAAATACACCCTAGCTTGACCGATCAATCACACGAATTTGTGATGATTTCCATAACTTAGATATAAGAAGCCCACGAAAGAAAAATCAAAAACGGACTTGACAAATACGAACTACGTGACCACAATGCGTGAAATTATAATTCAGCTCGAAAACTTCTCAAAGTGGAGCTACAACAATGATACTGGAACCTAAAGCGGCACAGCAGGTCAGAATCAAGAAAATAATGAAGAGTTCAGCTCAAAGCCTCTTAGCAGCTCCTTGCTGAGCTCTTTTGGAACAAACCAAACAAATTCATCATCACAAGCTTTCATCGCACAACTGCCAGAAAAGCTTCCGATGCAAAATCACCACTTATTCTCAGCTTAAAAAGCACTGCAGGGCTACGTGAAGGCTGCTCAAGTTGTGATCTGACTACTCACATGTGCCCAGGACAAAATCGAAGGCCTCTTTGAAAAATACTGCCAAGCCTTTGGGCGAATCCACTCTTCGGAACTCTCCATAGAGTCGTTCGTATGATGGTGGTGCGTCTGAAACACTCAGGTGAAACGATGAAGGTAAAAATTAACCCGAACAACTTTGGACAGTATGGAAAAATTGGTACATGATATCACTCGAAATAGAACAGGAAGCAGTGGATGGACAATTTTTTGAGATATTTCGTAAACAGTCAAACTCGATTTTACCACTATTGAGATTTTCTCGGTCACGCAAAATGTGCTTCAGCAGTACATGTCCCATTCATACTTCCAAAGTTCTTAATTTTATTGAGAAGTTAGAGGAGCGATTAAAATCTGATTATCGATCTATCTAATTCGAATATCCTATAGACGATGTCCTTATGAACAAATATCTTGCCTATTCGAGCGATCAATAAAATTGCGAGCTCGTCCAAGACGAAAAAGTCTTATGGCTTTCTATCTGCACTAGACAGAAAACACAAAATGACTAGATAAGATTCCCCCCCCCCTCCCCCGCCTCAGCGAAATTGTTTAACTCCAGAGCAATTACTGTCTCAAAATCTATCATCTTATCGGGCACCAGAAGCGTCGTCGCAGCAGCGGAGTGAATCGCGGATATGAACAGGAGCGGAATAATGGGCGACCGAAAAAGAGCTGAACAAGACGATTCAAAGCAAAGCATTTCGGTTTTTCACAATTACCCTAATTTCACGTGTATAAGGCGCATTTTCTAATTTTCAAGCGAGCTGCTCAGCCGCTTCACTTTATTCCGGAAAGAAATTTCTTACATCGCACGATTCTTTCAAGCAATAGACAGCACGTTATAAGGTCCTTTGGTTCTAAAGTCCTTTGGCGGGTCTGGGCTGGTCGATTTTGGCAAAACGCCTTATACGCGTGAAATTAGGGTAGTCTACACGAAAATTCATTAAAATATACGCTCTGTAAGACCTCATATTTTTGATTTACTTTGTTAAACCTCGCATTACGCCTGCACTGCCTGGCCATGCACAATCTCCCTGAAATTTTTCCTTCAAGTACAGGGCGTTCATAAAATGGTGACAATGGCGCGGCAGCGCACGTCGCGTAGCACTTCCGGCACCGCAGTATTTGGTTCCCAATTCTACTCGAATGGTTTTGCTGCATACTCATGCTAATATTACATTGGAAGCGATAAGCTGGGCATTGAAGAGTTGCTTTTTGCGTAATTCATGCTCCTGCGGACGCAAAGACAGCAGTCCAATCCGTCACCATGATTTTATAGGTAACATAAACTACGTAAGAAATATAATGGGAACTGCAACTGTGTTGTAATCGCAAGCAGTTAGTCCCTCATATTGCCAAAGTGTATTGCATCCATATGTACAAAATGTACAAGCTTCATTCGTTTAAATAGCACACAGAGACTGCACCTAATCCAAAGAACGTAAACAGCCATCAATTTTTGGTTGGAAACATTTGGGTCACTCATGGTTCACTGAAAGGAAGTGATGAACATAGGGCCTCTTATTATGTAAAAGAAGGGTCAATTTAAGTTGCTAGGATAAAGAACAATTTTGTTACCATAACTGTTTATATGTAATAAAACCTGCTGTAATTCTGTACCTCAAGAAAGAAATGAAAAGAGATCTACTAAAGCCTCTCACCATTTGATGCTTCTTCATAAGATGGCGGAAGTTCTGGAGCTGACGGCACTGCCATCTGCAATGGATGTAATAATCATAGTAGAAGAAGCTACAATTTCTCCACGATAGCGGTGGATCGTTGCCACTACTTTGCAAACACTCAAATTCCTCAAGCTTTATTGCCAGTAAAACATAAATCCGTGAATAGATTGGAAAAGAATGCGGGTAAGAGAGCGAATCATATATCAATGTCAATGGGAGTAGGATCGTTTGGATATCGAAAACACAAAAACAATTTTTAAACAATAAGAAGTTTATTTGACGAAAATATGATACAGATTACACACCGATTTGGACGTACTCGTTAAGCATAACCGGATAAGACATTGAAAAAATGGTAGACTTCATCATGATCCATGACGGCAACATTTGTCGAGCAAACAGCACAATGCACCGGTAGAAACAGGTCATCTTCGGCTACCTATAAAATATATACACTTACATATAAAAGAACGATGAACAAGTACAACATACCGGTTGTTCGTTCGGGTCAAGACCCATTTTCTTTAACCTCTGTCGTTCACGACGTCGCTCTTTACCGGTCTTTTCAATCTTGAGACTTTCGTGCTCTACACGACAATTCTCCACGAACATGGCCCTGAACGAAATTAGCTGTATCGTACAGACAGAGAAAAAGAACAAGAAAAAAGAAAAAAAAATGCATGGTATTTCGGCTTTTAAAAATCTCCTCTCACTAAAGAGTTTACGATGAATGAAAGTAAGCAAAACAAATGTCAAATGGAAATTCAAAATGTATAGAATGTGCGAGAAAAGTGTAAGTTAAAAAAAAGATGCACTAGAAAGGAAAAAAGTGCATGAAAGATGAGTAACAACCTTACCTATACTGTCCATTATAAATTTCATGCCGCTGACAATCCCTGGTCAACATAACCATACATCCGGGACATGAAAGAACGGCATCAGAATTTCCGTCAATACTTGGCCTAAAAGAATGAGATGGCTTTGGAACTGTGGGCGCAGAAATATTGCGATACCTGGCTTCTTGTGCTTTCTTTGGATCACCCAATCCAGTGGCCTTTTTCCGCTGGCGCTGCATCCACTTCTCATTCTCATCATCTTCTTCAGGATCATAATACTCAGGAATTTGCTAAACGATCATGTTTTATAGGAAGTAGTAGGCGAAAACAGAACAGCGGACGCAAAAAGTAAATGCTGACCTTCTTCGTATCTTTGATGCTCTGTTTCGCTGCTTTCTTGATTGGATTGGTCTCCTCCTCCTCATTCTCCTCCTTGACAGCTTCATCCCATGTGACATGCTTTTTAGGTTGTTCCTTATTTTTGGACGTTTCTTCATTCTGTAAGTAAGGCTTCGATGAAGTTAGACATGCACAATGAGGAATAAACTATAGAGCGTCTTCACAACTACAACAAATTATCGTTGTAACTATTTTACAAAAATTTACCTCTGCAGAAGCATCAGCAGTATGATTCACACCAGCTAAAGAACTGCTTGGCTTTGCATCAGAATGAATGTTCTCCACCTCCATAGTTTCGGCTTTGATCGATTTCGGCGTTTTTACGCTTTCGTCCATCTTCAGCCTCTTTGACGGCACTTCATTTTGATTCTCGCCTTCTACAAAAAGAAGGTGAATTGCAAAATAGCAATTTTGGGACTTCCGTTCACTAACAACAAGTATATATCTAACAATAGATAAATCAACAACCTTCGGCTTGCTCTTCTTCATCTTCGTCGTCACTACCTCCAACAAGTGCAGGCATTTCATCTTCTTGACACTGTTCCACGAACTAAAGCAGAGGAAAATGAAAACTTAGTTAGAAGCAGCGAGCTTTGAACTTTCACAGACACGCACTTTTTGTTTTGACCGACTTATATAGCCTATCCATCTTGACTAACGATGTTTGCTTGCTCAACTTGTTTGTAAATCAGAGACTATGTAAATCCCCTTCTCGAGACTTGGCATCACCTAACACAGGGAATGCTGTACAGTAATATGTTGAAAAAAGAAAAACCCGCTATTCTGGGATATAACATCACCCCACATAGGATATTTACCTTCAAGAAAAGAGGAAAAGTCTCTCCAGACTACAATACCGTTTACGAATTACGAAAAAAGAGAGGACCGCCGGAATTCACCGATTTTGCGTCGCATTGTCATAATTCGGTTTAAGACAAATCTGAATCTACTCATGCAATCGCAAAGGACTTCCGGCGCGAACAGAAGTTCTAAAACTTCCGGGGGGGGGGGGGGGGGGGAGGGGGACACTCCTATTGGACCTGCCAGGTAGGGCGGGTTCCACGGCCTACGCCAACATGGCCCAATAGGAGCGTTCCCTCGGAAGATTTAAAAGTTCAGTTTGCGCCGGAAGTTCTTTGTGATTGTCGAAGTAAGCATATCTTCCAAATTTTATCGATAAGACGCATCTTTATGATGAACAGTAGTGCCTCTATGGGTACGGTAGGTGTACGGTTGGTACGCAGTTTCTGGCTGTTCGCAAATTATCGAGATTTCTGCTCAGTAGTTCATCCGGTGTGGCGACTACCATGATTACATCAACTGCAGCTGGAATCTGGTTACCTATCGTACAGCAACCGTACTCAGAGAGGCACTTTATATAGAAAAAGAGGTGCCGCTCTGGGCTGGGTTAAATAATGGTGTCAATGGAATCAGAATTTGCCTACTCTGAAGGAGGTACGGCAATGCAGCGCGAATTTGCGGTGAAATTCTGCCGCGGTTTATTTCTTTACGAATCATAAGCGCCAGTGTAAATGCAACCTCCAAAGTTAGATAGCAAATCTAAAATCTAGAACAGTATATGTGCTCCTCTCACACCTGACAATCTTGCGAGCTAAAACTGTAAGCTAATACGTACAAGAGTATGCAAAATGGAGGACAATTAATAGATTAGGACATTTCCAGTTGAACCTCAAAATACAAATAGATATGTCCTTCACCGTTCGCTCTATAGCAGTGATGGTAAGATTTTGATAAGGAAGAAAAATCAGATTAGACAGGCAGTAAGAGGCTGTTATATCGATAGATGCCGCCGCTAATGCTTAGTTTCCTTGTTGAAGAGCAAGAAGGATAAGAATAACAACATAAAAGGGGGACAAAAATGCAAGAAACAGAGATTATGATCATTCCTAACGAAAAATGAAGATGTTGGCATCTTTTTGCTGTTCTCAAGATGAAGCACAATCTAGCAATTGTCCGCTCAAAATGTTCAACCAAAAAACCGGACATAAGCTTACTTTAAGATAATTCACATGAGCTAATCCATGTGTTAGAATACAAAAATATCTACTTCTACGCATTTATTGATGCACAATTTTCACGCTCGCCTTCTCTGATTTCAGATTTCAGCAGAGATATTACGACGCCAGCAATTTTCTTCTCAAATCTATGTATTTGCATATCATACACGTTATGGTATTTAGGATGGCAGCTTTCTCGTCAAATTATATTAGAAGATACTGTACATGGTCTTACTGTTTATCCAGCACATAAGTTGCCGGAAGAAAATGTCCAAAAAGATTTTGATCTGCTGCCACTTGAAATTTAGATAAACTCGCTGATATCTACAGTTCATCAAAATGCCCGCCTCTTCATATTCGAGATACTTTGGCAAAAAAATCACTTGTTAAGGCAGGCAAAGAGCATTTTAGCAGTTTCACCAATGTTGTCGATGAACGTGGAATTTATTAAATCCGTAATTCCTAAAATGCTTGAAATTGCTGCTGGTTACGAGAAAATGCCGTTGAAAAGTGCAAAAAATATGATTCTGTTCCTTTAGAGAAAGGCGCAGGTAAGCGAAGCTACTTAGAGATACCTGATTATTTGTTTTGTACGCAGAAAATTTATTCTTGTATTGTGCTGCACCACAAGTAACTAACCTCTTTAGCAGAAACAGCTTGAACCTTCTCTTTTTTCACATTTCCACTGAGATGCTCGTTTGCGTAGTCAGTGATCAGCTGATCTAGCTCGTATTCCATATCCATTTCGAACTCTGAGCGTGTCGCTAAAATGTGGTCAATACAGCTGTTTCAAACTCAATCTGCACTGAGAACGTGTACAAAGAGGAATCTGGTCCACTTACGTTTTTCCTGACGTCGTTTCTGAACACAATCGCGTTTGATTCCTGCCAATTTGCATAGCTCTTGTTGTAGTTCATCATCAGAACTAAAATACTTCGAAATTATTAGGAGAAAACTATAGAATTGTACAGCAAAACAGATTCTCAAGTGCAAACAATTCCTCGCATTGTGGCGCAAATTATCGCAAGAGTGTAACAAATGCACATTTATGCAAGTACATGTGATAGTGCAGGATATCGGCAATATGGTGCAGATGTGACAGAAGTAAAGTATATGAAGAAAACGTTTGATGCATTTTATGAAGGCACTAGTTGGCAAACCCGGCTCCGCCCGGCCCTGTCAATAACATATTCGTAATCAGCATGCTCGATTACCCCCCTGTGCCAACTCCCAGCCCTGTAGCTCAAATTTTGCAAAAAATCGATAAATCGATATCGATCGATAACGAAAAGTAGCCTATGACACGCTCCCTGCCCCGAAGTATATGTGTGCCAAGTTTGGTCCAAATCGGTTCAGAAATAAAAATTTCTATTCCGCACATACGTACAGACAGACATACAGACAGACAGACATACAGACAGACATTCAGCTTTATATATAAGATAGTCAAAAGATACAAAACAATAAACTCGTGACTAAGGTAAAAGTTGCAACAAAATTTGCACCAAAAAAATACAGAACGGTTTCAATCGTACTATATTCCAACAAAAGTAAAACTGAAGTTGTTAATTTCTAGACTTTTTTTAGCGTCTGGAATACTTTGAAAAGAAAACAAATTGAGCGTTGCTTTTATCAAATGCATTCTGGCTACAATTTGAAAAAAACACAGTCTCCTCTCTTCAAATCATGTAACATATAAAAGATCCAATGGGTCTGAAGACCGATTTTTGAGATTATTGGTGCAACAGAACAAATTCATAGATAAAGGACGTGTCAATGACAAGCTCACTTTTCCGTAGCATGCGCATCCGCGTCGAGCATACGCGCAGCAAGAAACAGTGAAAAAGTAGTTTGTGAAAGATGAAGAAAGACATAAGCCTCAAAGATATCATCAACCGGAAGCTGGCAAAACGCCAGGTCATACGCCCGCGAACATGGCGCAGGGGAATCGCGGTGCGGCTTTGTAAATCCACGCTTACAGAAAAGGGAACATGCCATTGACACATCTTGTACGTGTTCCAACCTACTATATGCTCAAATTGGCGGTTTTCATCCCTACTGTAAAGTGCCTTCATTGCTGTTTACTAGCTTTCGTCAATAACAACCGGAAACAAGATGTTTCGTGGTGGCGCAAAAAGTATCAGCATTTCGATAACTGCCTCTATATGCATGTAAAATCAAATCAGAAAGTCAACATCCACAATATCACTTCAAAATTGCCAAGCTCCTAAATTTCACCAAGAAGCTCTCTAGACCTTTTTGTATGACCATTTAAGGCAAGCTATAAACCTAGTAAAGCACGCTCCATAAACATATGTGACCTCAAAAACTCTCTACGAAACCACTTGTCGCTAAGAAGTGCTTTCTCGTACATCAAACCCGTAGTCTCGCGTGACTTGTTTTCATCGGAACGATGGTTAACTGCATGTACGAATTAGATAAACATAGGAATGGCACAAAAGTGCAATAGCTCAGATAAACGCGAACGCTCAAATTTAATAAGAGGACATAACAGCATTCCATCACTATTCTGATTTGTGATCTTCCATTGTTTACAATGTTGACTACACTGAGTGCGGCAACAATCAGGGGTGATGCGATAAAAACGGCAAAACAAGTACAAATAAATAAAGAGCAATGGAATGCCGGATCATTTTTGAACAACGAAACAAAGTTTTTCCGCTTCAGATTCTATATAGACAAGGATGTGCAGCGATCACAGCTGGACAAAACCGACATAATCATTGACAAGGTTGGGAGAACAGAGAATGAGCAGGATTCTGATTGTTTCAGATTGTCACCACAAAAATATCAATGTCAAAATCACTAGAACATACAGACCGCAGAAACTCGTCGAACCATTCCTATTTGACTGGCGTTAGTTTCAGTTACCCAAAAAGAAGTGTCTTTGTAACCTACTTCTGTAAAAAAAGATTCTCAAAGATATAAGCAAAAAAGACCGCTCAAAATCCGGTTTTATTGAGTTAGGTCATAGGAAATCGGAAAGGTTACAGTAAAATCTGAAGGGCAAATGATGTATTAAGGTCAGTATTGCAAAATGAGCAAAAGCGCTGATCGAATCTCTTGAATTTTGCACAAAGGAAAACGACGAGATCAATCACTTCATCATTTTTCGAAAATCATAATCCTTGAAGGCAGCGTCCAGGCAGATCTGGACCTATGGGGCTTTTACGCGGAAAGTTCTTTTGGGGCCCTAACTAAGGCACTGCCCAAGCGGCAGCTCAGGTAGTGCTGTAATGGCTGAGATATTCCCCTCGAAACTGGACCCCGCGACCGTGTTTCGCATGGATTCATGGCGCAAAGCGTGGATCCTGGCGCGAAACTGCCATAAATCCATGCGAATACGTTCGCGGGGGCCAGTTTCGAGGGGAATATCTCAGCCATTAGAGCACTACCTGAGCTGCCGCTTGGGCAGTGCCTTAGTTAGGGCCCCAAAAGTACTTTCCACGTAAAAGCCCCATAGGTCCAGATCTGCCTGGACGCTGCCTTTGATAAAGAGTTTCAATCAGCAAAATTCCGCGCAAGTGAGTGTTTACGAGGGAACGGCCATAGGTTGTCGGTGTTGTCGATGTTGTCGATGTTGTCGGTGTTGTCGGTGTTGTCGATGTTGTCGGTGTTGTCGGTGTTGTCGATGTTGTCGGGGTTGTCGGGGTCAGAGACAGTTTAGAGAGCGCGCGAAACGTGGAGGCTATCATGAGGTCCTACAACGACCGGCACCTCGGCAACCCCGACAACCCCGACAACACCGACAACACCGACAACACCGACAACACAGACAACACCGACAACATCGACAACACCGACAACACCGACAACCTATGGCCGTTCCCTTTACGAAACTGATTTAATCTGTTCAATTTATTGCAACGTTTCATTCACGTCGAAGTAACCTGAAAAATCCGAGATTCGAATGTATCTTAACAAAAAACTGTGACGCCAAGCGCTCTATAGCTACCATTATAATGAGCCAAACTTGAATCAGATATTACGCAATCACGGCGAGGAACTTTTGGAAAACTCAGCCTTTGCATGTCATGAGAATTAGAAAACATCTGAACAGACATCAAAGCAACGATGCACTGTTTCGTCATGAGTGAGCATCTGGTTTTGAACCCTAATGATTCATCGATCTGCCCCCTCCCATAAGCAATCGTATTTAACGGGAGACCAGAACATGATCGATAACGTTAGCAAACATGGGAAAACGTTTGGTGCTCCCATGCTATACAGAAATTCGTATTCCTCAAAAGAAAAAAATGTACACGGACAATTTCGTCAAGTGCCTGCCGACTACTGACAATCAATAGAGCCACGGCAGTTCACAACAACAAGGTTAATAAACGCCTTCACTGAATACATACAGCTTTCTTTTGTCGTCAATGGCTTCCTTATGCGATCGCAAAAAAAAGATAATCTGCGAAGAATTTTCGAAAGCCTAAAGCCTACAACACGTACGAAGAAGCCCTTCAAATTAAAAAGAAAATCAGAATAAAAGTAAAAATAATTTGAGTTTACTGAAAATATTCTTGAACGATATCAAATTTGAAGACCGCTCAAAATTAGCCAATGAGCATTATGGAAGAATGATTCGTAGACATGTGAAATGTATGCGTTCTTGAACCATAAAAAACCGACTTCGTTTCTCAAACTCGGATAATAATTTCAAACATTGCAAGGAAATGGTGATATTGGCAATCACATTATGGAGTTCATACTTATTTCAACAACCTGCATTATAATGGACAGCGCAATCTTTCATTACGACATTGATGGCGATCACTGTCAGCTTTCGAACAGATAATGAAAAAAAAAACAGAGCTCATATTTAATTTCCCACATTTCTATTTGCTTTTCATAATTCTCAAGTGGTGCTTGAACTTGATTGTCCTGCTTATTCAAGCAATCGTACTTTCGGGATGGATACAGACAGAAACTGAGACCTCAAACATTAATTATTAAGATTCTTCAGTGGATTCTGCTGCGCATGGGCATATTTTATTACAGTCAGGAACAGGTAGTACTATGAAAATAGTATAGTACAAGGTCTGGCTACCTGCGTAGATTATCCAAAACTTGAATATTTCTCAAAATACGATTCGCAATTCGCTTAACTGCAAAGCATACTTGACCCACAACGAACTAGCTTTATGATTCCATGAGGATTACACCTCCTAAGTAAAAAAAAACCTCCGCTGTCAATCACTAAGAGTACAACTGAAAATCAAAAACGTCCAGAAAAATGTTTCTGAGCGCTCTGCAGGCATGGAAAACTGCTTCGCCATCGGCAAAAGCTCAACACAAATCGATTTTCCAATTGATTCTCATATACATAAAACTACAACACCCACACTAATGTAGCGCTTAATAGAATTCAAGACTGGATCCAGTTTTCTACAAGCGTTAAGACGAGTTGTATCGTGGAAACTGGCAAGAAAATTCAAAAAAGTCTACCTGGGTTTCTGATAAAGAGAGATAAACTAAGCAGAAAAGGTAGCTCGTATGAAAATCAGAGCATCTCCATTCAAAAGGTGAACTACGAGACTTCGCCGAACTTCTAGTCACCGAATCATAACAATGCGACTCGGCCATGACAAGAATAAAAGATTCATAGGTAAAAGAGCATACTCTGGGAAGGCACACATCAGAAACAGAAACAGATAACAACCTTGAGCGCAAATCCCCCCTGCTGAGGGCGATCGATAAGAAAAACAACCATGTGTAGGACGTTTTTTCTGATTCTGATATGCTACCGAGAGGATGAAAGTGATAGGAAGCAGACATTTATGATGAGCACAGTTGTCTGGTGAAGCATTATAACTTTCTCACGATTACTCTATTCAGAAAACTGCTCTTTAGGCACACAAAAAAAGTGGAAAGGAAAAGTATGAAAGTGGCTACGCTTGAAAAGTGTGAAAGTGACTCAAAGTAGTTTGCCAGACACATGACGCGTCCAAAAAATTAAACATATGCCGAAGGAAACGCCGAATTGCTTTCTTGTGGGGAGGAAAGGATCTCGTAAAGATGCATTGCCATTGTCAAACCAATGATCGCAAAACGCAAACAACATATGTTCGGTGTGCGCTCCACGTTAATCAAATAGGCGATGATGTCACATGTTCATTAGGACTTCGTCTTCCGAAAATGTCAAAACTCGACCAGTAGCAATAAACAAACGGACAGACAAGATGTTATTATAGGAATGAACAAACATTCAATGCAGGATATTGAATTGATGTAAAATTGCTGGAATAGCTGAACAGAAACGCTCGAACACTGCTTAGCGGATTTCAGGCCAGGGTACTTCTTTTTTATCTTGAAGAAAAGGAGATTCAAACACTTGGCAGAGATCACCAGCATTGCAATTCGAAACACTGCAGATTCTAAACCTTCATCTTGCGTCACCGTCATTGTGGCGCAATACTAGCCGCGATGATAGCAGAGGTCTGAAAGCATGTTGCCTAGCGACAGAAGTACAACAAAAAAGATTCTTTCGACCTTTTTTCTTCAGCCATTATCCAATTATCGAAAAATTCAGTTCTGACGAAACGCATCACAAACTAGAAGCAGAGCGCAGTAGAAGGAGAAAAGGAAAAAATTTCGCATAGGTGCTTGGAATGAAACGCTTGCTGATTTGCTCCACAACTGGAGTTTCGATAGGTGTTTCAAACCACACAAAATGAATTAAAGCACATATAGCTTATGCGCCTATTCTGCCCATAAGTTGAGGAATAAGAGATGGTTCAAAAATTCACTATTCTGAGAAGTCAAAGTTTGGAGAAAAGGTAAAGAAACTTCTGTATTTGTCCCACTCCACATGGTTTAGGTCTATACGAAAGTGATGAGTATTTTAAAATAACATTCTCATAGACATTGCTACTGACTTGCTTGGACTTGTGTTTTCTGTTATTTGTTGCGATGAGTGTTCCCTAGGCATATACAGACACACAAAACGTAAAACATCAAACAAAACTGATGAGGCATTCAAGGAGAATTTCGGCTTGAAAAGGAGATCTACCGCTACCATAGGAAGAAACTCTGCAGACAACGCAGGAGAGGGCACATTGCTAGGTGATAGAAAGCCAAAAAAAGACGATATGATTTTTGTTTTGAAAAAAAGGAAATGAGACTATGTAGGAGATGGATATGCGAAACAAACAATAAAAGAGAACGAACTTCAAGTACGCAAAGATGATTTACCTGAGCTCTTCTTCGCTGTCCCTAGCTACACCTCCAGTAGCTTCATCGCCCATGTAGTAATCAGCTTCCAGTGCTTCAAAAGGGTACAACTTTTTCATCTTTAATACTCTCTCCTTATTCTCCATCTGAAATATCACAGATAAGTACCACGTAGCTCCACGTTCGAATACTCAGTGCGTCAAATCGGACAATGAATATATTCACAGTAAGAGAAATTGTACAATTGTAAAAATTGCGTAAAAATGTGATGAGACCAGAAAGTTCCTAGTATGTGAACCGCATAGGTAACAAATAACAACTTTTGTGGTGCCGCGGTCCTTACCCCTTTCTGGATTTTCTTGAATAGATCAAGTTCTAAAGTTGCCCAAAGCTTTAGCGCACCGTCAAACTGAAGAAGTTGAGATTTCGACCCAGTCTAATAGCGAGGTCCCTAGCCAAGCGACTACCCAGTTCTTGCTGCAAAGAAACTATCTAATTCCAAAGCAAGGAATCGATCCAGAGGCTAAATGCGACAGGATCTCCACGCCCATCAACGTAAATGGTTCAAAGGCAATGAGCCCTGGACCCCAGAACATCTACAATTGAAAATCCGCTTTTCGCAATGAGAAAAAAGTAGTCGACTTTCTAGACACTTTGGAGTCCACTTTTCCATGCATGTACACCACCCACGTCGATGGGTGTGGCGACCCTCCCGCATGCACCTTCCAGAGCGAGTTTCTCGCTGTAGTATATATTAATTTTGATGCAGTGGGATTTGGGCATAACAAAAACGAAGTCCCTATTCATCTGAGTAATTAGTGAATGAACTGTGCTTTCTCCATCACTTGAGAAAAGAAGTATCTACGGCTCCCAGATTCGTATGGCGAGTCATGACAACTCAAAGCGTGGTGATTTTCGATAGGGAGAGAGTACGAAAAGCAAAGCTGGATGAAGGTTTAAGGCAGATTTGGACATTTTCGGATACTATCATAACTGAGTACTTCGACCTCGATCTAGAACTAACGCGCAAGTCCGACTTTCGAATATCCCCTGCGGAAAAAGAAGGTTGGAGCAGAAAAAGCCGAACCTCAAGAACCACGCCCACTCCCTCGAACGGCCCGCCTCCCTGAACTTCTCCCCAGCCCATGAGTGTTTTCACGTGGCAAACAAAATCGAACATATAGTATCTACCTGTTAATGCTTGCTTTCGACAAGGATAGCATTAGGAGCACTCGTCCATATTCTTACAAAATTGTCTCAAAAATAAGGGATCGTTCAGACCGCGCCTGTACCCGCCCAAATACGTCCAAATACGCCCGAATACGTCCGAATACGTCCAAATACGCCCAAATACGTCCGAATACGCCCAAACCCGCCCGAACGCCGAAACTGCCAATGCGCAGCAAATTGCATGCAAATTGGCATATTGGAGCACGCGTGGAATACTGCGTGCGTGGTGCATATATGGTAGCCACACGTAGCTCGACGTTACATACCGATTTTCATATGCGACTAGCGGGATTACAAAGATCAATCGACTTTGCGTCTGTTTTTATTTCTTCTCATGTTTGCTGACTCTAGGTGAGTTCTAACTTTCGTGCTGTGCGTTTTCTTGTTTTCTCGGGTTTTTTCCTTTCTGCTCCAAGTGAAAGTGCATCTGCGTCTGTGTGTAAGTACACACACATACACAACACACACACGCATACGCACACTACGGCATTCTCACTATACGTGGGACCGAATCGAATAATTATTCGATCATTCGAATAAATCATTCGAATGCGAATGATTCGAAAAGTCGAATATTCGAAAATCTGAGATTTCGGATAAAATTCGAAAGTCGAATATTCGAAATTTTTTGTTTTCGAATATTATTCGAAAGTCGAATATTCGAAAATCTTGAATTTCGAATATTATTCGATATACGAATATTCGAAATTTTCAATTTTCGAATATATTCGATATTCGAATATTCGAAAAAAATTTCGAATTTCCCCAAGTATAATTCTCACTCACACACATGCACACACGCTCACACAAACAATATATACCCACCTACTGTACTTACACACAGACGCAGATGCACTTTCACTTGGAGCAGAAAGGAAAAAACCCGAGAAAACAAGAAAACGCACAGCACGAAAGTTAGAACTCACCTAGAGTCAGCAAACTTGAGAAGAAATAAAAACAGACGCAAAGTCGATTGATCTTTGTAATCCCGCTAGTCGCATATGAAAATCGGTATGTAACGTCGAGCTACGTGTGGCTACCATATATGCACCACGCACGCAGTATTCCACGCGTGCTCCAATATGCCAATTTGCATGCAATTTGCTGCGCATTGGCAGTTTCGGCGTTCGGGCGGGTTTGGGCGTATTCGGACGTATTTGGGCGTATTTGGACGTATTCGGACGTATTCGGGCGTATTTGGACGTATTCGGGCGTATTTGGGCGTATTTGGGCGGGTACAGGCGCGGTCTGAACGATCCCTAAGGTTCTTCGAGAAATTCACGCAATTTGAGTGTTACATTTGGAATCAGTGCCATGAAAGGGCCTGGATAAGGCAAAAAAATAGAAGTCAAAATTTTGCCTGGACGCTGCCTTCTGTAAGTTTATCCGCATTATCAGAAGAAGTCCGCGATCCGCCTCTACACGAATCTAGGAGCCGATCATATTTGTTCGCATGAGTAATCAATGTTGCACATCACTGGGAAAACTATTCACCCAGCTCAATAAAATTCGAATTTTTCATATCTTTTCTTGCTCCGCTTACTGATGTGATTTCCGAAAAAAGTACTTCAAGCATTAAGAACAAAATTATAGCTTTATGAACAAAAAGGCAACCTTTTGACCCATAAGATCAATGGTGAACTTTGAAAACTATTTGCAATGGAGAGAAGTAGAACTAAGCACAATGTTATCATAAGGAATGCATCAGCCCGCTGCGAACTTAACCTCGTTTTAGAAATTAGAAATCCTCTCTGAACCCCAAGAAGCAAAGCAAGCAATAAACACGAAAAAAGGCCAATTACAGCAATTTTTGGATGAATTATTACAAGATGAAGGGCGGACAGAAATACACAGATTAATTGGTGTTTACGAAATCAATCTTTGCTGGAAAATGATGCAATCATTTCAAAACAAAATCGAAGGGATGGTAACCAAAGGCTAGACGGAAAATGCTCAAATCATAATTTATTCAATAACCTCGTGTACGGGAACGTCGGTATGACTCTCCTTGAGAGTTGAAATCAAGCTTACATGTACCACATGCTTTGATACACCGGAAAAATTTCCAAAGGAAAAAAAAGAACAAGAAAGACGAACAAAAACAAAGCCAACAAGCCCCGATGAGCTGTAAGAGAAATGTGCTAATTACAAACAGCTACAACAGGTTCTACTTACAGGTGAGCGAATGCAAGACTAGATGCCCATGGAGAAAAACAAACAAGTTTTAACCTCAGTCAACAACCTTTCTTCAACTAACGGGGAATCTCCTATTCTCGACTTTATCACAGACGAATTAAGCAGTAAAGAAAGAGTAGAGAAGCGACAATTGTGAGCACAGGGTATAAGGAAAAGAACGATGGAATGATCGGTTTATGTTAGAACCCCGTTAATTCTACATGTGACATAAATTTGTGCCAACATTTTCAGAGTTTCTTCGCCAAAAGCGCCAAAAGGGTGTCATGGTACAAAATTCGCAGCTACATGAAGAACTCGAAAGGTTAACAACTGAGAAACGCGTAGAACATGTCTCAGCTTCTCTCGTCTTACACCAATTAAACAGCTGTATATCATTTACCTGCAAATGAAGATATGCAAGGAAGGAGCATTTGTCTCAAGATAGCAAAGAATAGGACAAGTTTGGGTAGATTATCTTTGGAATCATTATAAATCAAAACAATGCGCAGCACAATGGACCAATTGGTAACCCAGATATCTTCTCAGTTCGCGTTGCTTTCACTACTCCACTATAGCAGCATAAGCTTGCTCCCTTTCGTTGATTCGCGTGATCTCGCGAATGTCATCCATTTGACGTTTGATCAGCTCTTGTAAAAACTTCATTTCATCAGCATTAAGTTTTGGTTGTCCAACTCCTGACAGGTCAGAGGTGGAGATCAACTGCACTTTGACATCATCCACTGAAACGTGCCATTTTGGAATGCAATAGGTTAGAAAAGAGACGGACCTTTGAAACCAGCAGTGTTCAGGAGCGCCAAAACTTCTTTAACATCAGCGTTGTTCATCACAATCTTTCCATCAAAAAAAGAATCTTTGAAAAAATTAGGACGTTGCTTTCCGTAGATCAATGCATCCTAAACTTTCTCGTGAGAACAAATTCACTCTTTTTAAAGGCAAACTAACGTGTTCGCGTTTTTTGTAAAGCAATAGGTCGGCCATATTGTACCACTGCTCTCTGAAGATTTGCCGGCTATACTGAGCAAAATATGTTCGCATTATCTGAATCCTTCTCTACAGGAAAAGTGCAGAAAGGCTAAATTTATCTGAGACAACCCACCTGCAGCAGGTGCTCTTCTCGCTTCATTTTGTCTGCTTCTGACCTAGTTCTTTGCACTGATTGATAATACCTGGACATGCACATGAATTAATGAAGAGATCTTCTATGACTAACTCTTCAAATTTGACGTCCAGCTTTTTTCCCAGTGCGATGCCGAAGAAGCTAAGTTTATGGAAGGGCTGTTCCCAATCGTACCTGTAACAAGGTGGCGTATGGAGTATAGACAAGACCCAGTAACCGGATGTATGGGCAAGTCATCGCATGTACAGACTAGACGAGCAAGACAAACATCTACGGCGTCCGCAACTGCGTGCTATACCTGCGTGCAATGACTTGCCTATACAAGGTGTGACGTACCTAATTTGCGCGAATTTATATGCGACGCAGAGCCGATCCAACATGTTTACCATATCAATCTCAATATTCTTACGAACATCGTCCGAAAGAGACACTTGCTCCTCCATCAGGATAAGCTTGAAAGAAATTTGATATAAAATGAGGAAAATTACAATGGAGTGAAAAGCATCATTCTCAAATCATCAATTCTTTCTCATAAAAAAACAAAAGTGAACACATGCGGAGTATAAGAGACTCCAGCCGCCTTTAACAGTACCTCGATGAACTTATACGCCGGAACCAACTGAGTTGCTAGATATTCCTCGATGTCTTCTCCTACAGCCAGTTCCACTCCATTTCGAAAATCATCTCGCACTTGTTCCAAGAAGGCTGCTATCACTTGCTCTCTTAATACGTATTATATAAACAAGACTTTGAACTTCTCGAAAGCATACTGACTCCTTGAAGCCAAAAACTCCCTTCCCATCGGCAATATTCTGTGCAACATCATCATGAGGTGACAGATTGGCCAGAAATGCAGGTAAGTCTTGATAAGCAGCTGACCTCATCTAAAGAAAAATTCCAAGAGCTTCGTAGGATTTGTGTGGTTATAGAACTTACAGTAGTGCTTAAGCCACCATGTAAAAGGATGTTTTCATGTTCGTTCCATGGATTTTTATCGAGAAGAGGGAACATGTGTTGAACGAGCGTATGATTCGTTTGTTCCCTAAGCAGCTTCAAAGCAGCATTGTAGTAGGCATTCATGGTCTGAAATGGTGGAAGCACTCTGAGATTTCGAACACTGTAGGTATAGGTCATGAGCAGACTACTTAAGACAAAATGATGACTGCCTTCTTTATGATCTCTAATTCGCGAGCTCAGAAACTTGTTGCTAATGTGAAACCGAGAAGGATTTATCAGACAAAGATTGGGCCCTTACGATAGACGTGGCAAGGATAATTATCATGCTTGATCCAAGAACTACTACCTGCGAATTCACAAGCTATAAATAGTATCCAAGAGGGTTAAATAGGCTTGCGTTGAAATCAACGACTTTGCCTCAAATGAAAAGGATCGGCAAGGACTCTGGCAACAGCGTTTGTGAAGTGAACTTGTGCTCCTCTTCACTAGTAGCATCGACTCATATGAACTGGCACAGTATTTCGTCATAGCTGTAATCCTTCTGTAGACAAATCAAAGTTGCTGTTACACTTCTTACAGGCATGGCTCGCGATTGCGACTGCGAGCCTCCCCTACCTCCTTCAAAGTCCGCGCTAGGTGAACCTCAAAGTGGTCAAAAAAGATGTTCTTCACTGCGTTTTCGACCCTGGAGAATGCTAGACGGGTTCGAGGAGATTTCTGTCAAAAACAGCGACCGGTGGTAAGTTGGAGCACACATCCTTGGCGGCAATTGGCTAAGTGGGCCAAAAAGCGAATTGCTCATCCAATCACTTCAGCAGTCTTCAAGGCCAAATAACGCCGTAAAAAGCACTTTTTGACAGCTTTGAGAGATTTCAAGGACAATCCTGGAATTAGCGCATCCAAAAGGCCAAGGAGAAGATAAGAGTCTTCAGTAGCAATTTTCGCGAACTGCCTTTAAAGGAAGCGTCCAGGCAGATCTGGACCTATGGGGATATTATGTGAAAAGTACTTTTGGGGCTCTAACTAAGCCACTGCACAACCGGCAGCTCAGATAGTGCTCTAACGGCTGCGATACTCCCCTCGAAACTGGACCCCGCGAGTGGTATTCGCATGGATTCATGGCAGTTTCGTGCCAGGACTCACGCGCGCCGTGAATCCATGCAAAATACGACTGCGGGGTCCAATTCCGAGGGGAATATCTCAGCCGTAAGAGCACTACCTGAGCTGCCGGTTTTGCAGTGGCTTAGTTAGAGCCCCAAAATACTATCCACGTGAGATCCCCATGTGTCCAGACTTGCCTGGACGCTGCCTTTAAACGGCTTCTTATTATCTAATGCCACCATATTCACAGTATCTGGTCAACGCTAGGTAACAGCATTCTTCGCCTTAGGCCCATATGCACTACATCCCTGCGAGGAGGGGAGGGGATCTGAGAGGGGACGCGCATGTATGTCGCTACTCTAAAAATCTTTCTTTTCTTCCTCTATCTGGCTTATGAAAGTTCTCATATCTTGATAACTGTGCATAATGGACGCCAGGTTACTACCATACAAGATCCCCCCTGAGGATCCCCAGGAGATCAATCTCATTTTCAATGTCATTTATCTTTCTGAAAAATCAGTGAGAACGCTGTAAAATCGTACTGAGAGAATATAATCGGTACTGTAAACATATTTATAGTAGAAACAAGGCGAGTCTCGGGATATCGAAATCTTCGATAAATCGTGAGCTAGGGATTATGAAAAAATTCACAACCTTCACAGTCCATTTCTCCTGTCGAAAAGATTCTTTAATAGTAGTATTATCATCGGCGACGATGATGTCTTCTTAGGGGGGCGGGGCGCGGCCCCGTTGTCGTTTCTGGTGGCTTTGGCCCCCCTTCAGTTGTTACTCTACATTGGCGATAACCGCCCCAATAAACCTCTCGCTCTCAACTGTCTGTTTGCCTCGAAGAATCCACTGAACCACCAAAAAGTAAGTTTAACTCGGGTACAATTACCCAAGAGTCTCGCACAGTATATCCAATAAGTATATACCCTCAGTACGATTTTACAGCGTTTTCATTGAGTTTTCAGGAAGATGAATGATTATGAAAATGATAGTGAGGATCCGCAGGGCATCATCCAAAATAGTGAAAATCTAATCTTGTATGGCAGCAACCTGGCATCTATCATGGGCAGGTATCAGGGTATGAGAACGTTCTAAGACAGATAGAAAAAGAAGAAGAAAGGTATCTAGAGTAGCGAGACCGTCCCCTCTTAGATCCCCCCCCCCCTCCCTCCCTCCGCGCGGGTATGTACGTGAATACGGGCCCTAGCTAATTGAGTTGCAATGTTTAGAGATGGTGCATAATGCGTTCAAATCATGAATATAGAAACGGATATCTTGAAGAAAGAATTTGAGTAAATTTAGCTTGTCATGCAGAATACTGCAGAGAGACAGCGCTAAACTTAAGGATGATATAGATAAAAATGAGAGAGGCAGACATCACTCACGTCCACATAGTCCAGCGATTTCGGAAAATGCGTCTTGTTCCATGACGAGTCGTGAAAGTAGTACCACAAGTTACCGGCTTCCTGATCGCGTATGCTCCCGTAATCATAATTATCTTCAAAAAGATCGATAAGCTCAAGAAAGCAGAAAGACGCCACTTACAGAAGACTCTATCAATATCGTCAACTTCTCGCGACAACTTAGCAATACTCTGCACAGCATAAGTATCAAGTACGTTACCCACTTTTGCTAAAAAGTAATCGAAATAAACAAATGACTCAATTTAAGCACCTACCACCTGTCACAGCAATGGCTATGTATCTTTCGACAGCATTGTTGTATTCTCTGTCAATGTGTGAACGCAAAGCGTATTTCGATATCGACAAGTCCTTGATCAGCTCGGTTCTCCGCATCGATGCACGCCGTCGCTGTACCCGGCGAATCATGTCGAGAGCTTCACGAGCCAGTTTTGTTGCCTTTTCCTGGATTGGAGGCAAAACTGGTTATAACTGATCATCATATAATCAATTTCCAAGCAAAACATGCAGAATTTAAGTATATAATACATGACACATTCCAACCTGTGCCGTTCTTTTGCGGATGACATCATCAACAAACTTCTGTATGGCTTGTTTAGATACAAACGGTTGACAAAGGATCTCGTTCGCACGATTCTAAAAGCATTTGCGTTGAAGCGATATGCAAACAATGCCCCATTCACACATTCAAAGATGCCACTCACAGTGTTTGGAGGCACAAAAGCATTGAGACTGCAAAGCGATCCGACTTTGACGGTGATCAGATACTCACAAGATGCCGCCTCTTCGACTTGATCGATGTAGGCTTCACTGGTAGATAACTGTGGATCGCACTCATACTAAAAATCATTCTTTGATAATGCCTAAAAAAAATGGCGCTCCCAAATAAGAAAACTCACTCTCACTGCTGTTTTCCTCGCTGACTTCTTATCCGGCAAATCACAGAGAGTACCTCCTTCGTACTGTTCTTCCAGATACATCAGACGATCAGTTGTCGAAGTCTACCAATAAGTCATATAATATAAATGATAGGAGCGAACGACGGATTTGCAAGTCAAAAAAACACCTATTTTTGCAAAATAGCCTTGCAACTCTCGCTTCAGTTGTACATTCACTGCATATGAAGGTCAGATGGTGAAAGAAAAGATTCCCAGGTAAACTCACTTGATACTGAGGCATTGCATATTTCCCTAAGAAAATTCCTAGCGAGTTTGTAATTTGTGCTGCTTCATTCTCTTAACGACAATGTATCAGAAGTACACTGAAAATAAGAAAACTAAAAACATACTTGCTCCATGAAACTGTTTCACATCAATACCTCTGCAGAGTTTGTACTTCCACCATCCAAGATCCTGAACGTGAATAAGTGGAACCCTCGTGAAGAATACACAGAAAATGCAAAGAAATTACCTTTGTGATGCAGTTTTTAACATAGAAACTCGCCGATACCAATTCCGCCAGATACTTGGGATTGTAACTGATTTCTTGGGGTTTTTCTTTCGGTTTCGGTACTGGAAGTTTGCAAGCAAAGATCTGCCCGGTTTTGCTTTTGATGAAAATGTAGCTCTTATCGTCTTTCTGAATGAAAATAAGTAAAGAAATACAAATGAGCAGCCAAACCCTTACCGTAGGCATCTCTTCATAAATTTGCTCCAATACACTTTCTTTATTATCTACCGACAAACTACTGAGATTAAAAGTTGGGTTGATTCCTGCCAAAACCGATGAGATATCTGGTTCGTAAAGCGTATTCCTGAAGCAGACGATAACACAGTAGACACGATTCTAAAAAAGTGCGAACCTACCTGACTTCTTCGATATCATACCAGCCGGAAATACAGACCGTTGGCAATACGTGCAATAAGGAGAAGCTTATTAGCAGCAACATAGTAGCCATTTCTTACATGTGACTAAGCAAGAAACGAAAGCGATTCCTTCAAAGATGGAAATAAAGAAAACGCCGAGAAACTTGAAGTGTAGCATAAGATACTAGCAGTAAGACAGGTGAAATTGCAACAAATCTGGGAGTTTGAAACCTTTACTAAGGTGAAATTATAACAAATTCAAAAGTTTAGAACATTTACCACTTCTATAAACACCAAACAGTAACAAAAAAAAGATACACGTCAGCAAAGTCACGAAGAAAAGCGATGAGATGAGAAGAACACTACCGCATGGATACGACAAGCAACCTGTCAGAACCACTTGGAGATAGAACATGAGATTTCAGAGGTTTTCAGAAGAATCTCCTGAGCAATAATCCGGACGGATCCCCAAGTAAAATGATAAATCTATATACAGCTAACAGCAATATGAGTAATCATCTCATAAACAAATCAAACACCGATCCAGCTAAGGAATACAGATGTGAAAGCCGTAGCACACTCAAGGCTCAATAGAGAGTATCATTCATCCTTTTTCGTCCTTCAGCTGCCTCCTAATGCAGAATTATGCATAACATAGCATTCAAGCTAGAGAATCAATCAAGAAACTAACTTTGAATCTTTCCTCAAACAAGGACAGTTCGGCTATCAAATCTGTGATCGCGTTGATCAAGGCGTCAGCTGGAGTAGTCTGCCCTGTCGTTTGAACTCGGAGGACAATCTGGATCACTTGTATAACAGCGACTGCCTATTCTTCTCATATAATACACAAGATCACCTTGTGTTCAAGAGGATGAGGATTCTTGTAGCCAGCAAATAAAACCATCGGGTCTTTCAGCAACTGACTGAAAAGTATTGGCCAATGGCGAAAATGGAAGGAAGTGCATTACCACAAAGCCACGTCATCACAAGAGTCACAATAAATTCAAATCGAACGAGGCTGCCACAGGTTTTCCTTGCTTTTGCTTGATCAAAGCTTACACCTTCTTACTGACAGTTTGAAAGAGATAAGTGGGCCAATCACGTTTCGCGTTCTACCGCAAAGAAAACGATGAAACGGACGAAATGAGTAAAACCTTAACATGAGCTGTTTGCAAGGTTTTGCAGATTTTGTTCAGATTAGGTTAATCAACGAGAATTCGGTGATCAAGATCTTTTCATCAACAGGTGAAACATACTTAAGTATCTCTGCAAAAGCTAGTTGAGCAGATAGCACATGGAAAACCGAGAAGTGTTATTACTATAGATGACCTAGGACAATCCACACCAAAAGACAACTAAGAACACAAGCTAAAAGAAAACTTACTGCTTCAGCAAATTGCCCAAAGTATGATCTTCCTTGTTGATCGTGAAGACAGCAGCATTTGGCACCTACAAGATATCAAATGGATCTGCGAAATTTCAAAAGCAACATGACCCAAACTAGATAACATGAACAAACCTTGGTATCATTTTCCACAGAGATTTTGCGTTCGCCATCGAAAATCAAGAATGACTCAAAGGCAGCCGGAGCATTCATTGTGATGCCTAGGAATCGAAATTTTTGTAAATATTCGAAGTTTCGTAAATACGAACGGTCAATGAATCTACCACTATTATAGTTAGATACAACATCAACTTTATAATGAAAGCATGGTCAATCGAAAATTGAGAGACGTGAGATCTGGTAGTACGCAACTGCGGACTCATGGGATCTGCGAGCTTGCCAGTTGGGTGAGCGCATCCACAGTACAGTCTGCCCCAATCGGGATCAGGCCGAACTGTCGACTGAATTTGCGCGCTCGTGCGCTAGGGGATTGCGCTGCATACGCGCGCTGTCGCAGAGAGTGAAGAGATCGAGGAGAGAGCAGACTAGCTAGCCGCAGATATGGCGCGAAACCCTCGCGGCGCGGACTCCCGCCATACCGATTTTGGCCTGGTTAGGATTGGGGCAGACTGTAAACCCCAGTGGCTTCAAATACAGAAGCGTATGCGCAATTGTGATGTTATGGAGAATATGGTAAATCGCAGCAGTTAACAAAGCTTCGGCCGAGATGTACTATCCCACAACTTTCTGGCAAAGGGAAAATTTCAGAAACCCTCAAATATAGCTATTCATCGACGCAGAAACTGGGCGCCATTGCGTCCGATCAAGATGGTCCGTGTGTGGGAAGAAAAGAAGGAGGAATAAAAGTACTTTTGTTCTGGAGCGCAAGTAGATGCCAAACTTCTCTCAAAAACGCCTAAAAGCGCTCAATTTTTTGGATCTTATTCATGTTTCTTGCCGTGGTTCTCACGATGAGAGTAATGCGAGGTTCATGCGAGGGATATAGAGGAAGATGAGCCGAGGTGAAGGGTGTGAACGAAGACTTGGCCCGAAGAAAAATTGAATGCGTAATTGAAATAAAACGTCACAGTTGCTCAAATGGTCCAATGTTAATTATCAGCGCATCCACTAAAAGAATATCTTCTGTCCAAAACACTCATATCGGCGGCTCATAACACGCAAAGACTGGGCGCTGTTCCGTCAGATTGAGACACTTCGTGTTGGGAGAGACAGCAGATGGTAAGAGGAACGAGAGAGCGCTTGAGCAGAGAGACGCCGAAACGTCCGCAGTCTTTGCGTGCAATGAATTGGCTATACTTAACACAGCTCTGTTTGGGCGCTGGAGAGGGCTCCATGTCAGGAGTCACGCCGCGCGCCGCGCCGCTTCGCGCACGTCGCGTCTAAGGGCCGCATGCACTATTATCCCCGCGGGGAGGGGATCACAGCTTCAGAAGAAAGCTTCATATCCTGAAGCTCCGGATATATGGATTTCACGCTGTCTACCTATCCGTAAGTATTCCAGTATTAAGTATAAGGTTTTGAGCAAATCTGGAACTTCGACCCATCTACTGTACACCCACCGTAACCCACGAAAATGCACTATCCTGCGAAATCAGCATGATATTCCTGTTCAGCGAGCCAAATGGCCACCCTGGACGAAGTTTGAAGCAAATCTGTTCGATCCCATACCGTATAACCACCATAACTCTATGATAAGGTCCCAATATAAGAGAGTATGAAATTCGTAATCAGCATGTCAAATAAGCCCTCTGGACCTCCAGTCAAATTCATGATTTTGACTTCCTACCGTACACCTATCGTAACCACAAGGGAGACGTTCTGCGGAGAAAGTGTGATATCTGTAATCAAAATGTAAGATAACCCTTAGACACGAAGTTTGAGCAAGCTCTACGACAAAAAAATTTTGGGGCCCGGATAGCCGAATAGCGCCAAACTAATATTGTACTCGTAATAAGCATGCTCTATTACCCCCCCCCCCCCCGTGCAAACTCCCAGCCCCGTAGCTCAAAGATTGCAAAAAAAAATCGATAAAATCGATAAAAGAAATCGATAATCTTGAAAACCAAAATTGTATTCGGAATCCCCATGCTCGATTACCCCCCTGTGCAAACTCCCAGCCCCGTAAGTGAACTCAGCAAAAAAATCGATAAAAATCGATAAAATCGATATCGATCGATGACAAAAAGTAGCCTATAACACCCGCCGGCCTCGAAGTGTATGTGTGCCAAGTTTGGTCCGGATCGGTTCAGAAATAAAAATTTTCTATTCAGAACATACGTACATACAGACAGACATACAAACAGACATTCAGCTTTATATATAAGACTAGCGACCCTACGGGTCGCTAGCAAGCGGGTAGGGCACACCCATAAATAAACGTCTTTCATACCTATTATTTTCTCGAGTAAAATTTCAATTTATCAGTACATGTATTGCCGCAACCGCTCAAAAGTAACATTTTCAGAGATATTTTCAATAGGAGGAAAGTGGACCATATCGTGCTAAATTTTGTTTTGCCCCAGTCATCGCTGTACAGCTACCTTTCGCAACGTCGCTCTCGCACTCACGCTTACAATCTCGAGGGAAAAATCGAATTCACCCAGAGCAAAAGCTCCCAAAAGCGAGATTTTCGAAGATTTTCTCAAAATTTGGCGGCAAAGTGGACCATATCGTGCCAAATTTTGTTTTGCCCCAGTCATCGCTGTACGGCTTCCTTTCGCAACGTCACTCTCGCACTCACGCTTACAATCTCGAGGGAAAAATCCAATTCACCCAGAGCAAAAGCTCCCAAAAGCGAGATTGACCATATCGTGCCAAATTTTGTTTTGCCCCAGTCATCGCTGTACGGCTTCCTTTCGCAACGTCACTCTCGCACTCACACTTACAATCTCGAGGGAAAAATCCAATTCACCCAGAGCAAAAGCTCCCAAAAGCGAGATTTTCGAAGATTTTCTCAAAATTTGGCGGCAAAGTGGACCATATCGTGCCAAATTTTGTTTTGCCCCAGTCATCGCTGTACGGCTTCCTTTCGCAACGTCACTCTCGCACTCACGCTTACAATCTCGAGGGAAAAATCGAATTCACCCAGAGCAAAAGCTCCCAAAAGCGAGATTTTTGTGGATTTTCTCAAAATTTGGCGGAAAAGTGGACCATATCGTGCTAAAATTTTGTCTTGCCCCAGTCATCGCTGTACGGCTTCCTTTCGCAACGTCACTCTCGCACTCACGCTTACAATCTTGAGGGAAAAATCGAATTCACCCAGAGCAAAAGCTCCCAAAAGCGAGATTTTCGAAGATTTTCTCAAAATTTGGCGGCAAAGTGGACCATATCGTGCCAAATTTTGTTTTGCCCCAGTCATCGCTGTACGGCTTCCTTTCGCAACGTCACTCTCGCACTCACGCTTACAATCTCGAGGGAAAAATCCAATTCACCCAGAGCAAAAGCTCCCAAAAGCGAGATTTTCGAAGATTTTCTCAAAATTTGGCGGCAAAGTGGACCATATCGTGCCAAATTTTGTTTTGCCCCAGTCATCGCTGTACGGCTTCCTTTCGCAACGTCACTCTCGCACTCACGCTTACAATCTCGAGGGAAAAATCCAATTCACCCAGAGCAAAAGCTCCCAAAAGCGAGATTGACCATATCGTGCCAAATTTTGTTTTGCCCCAGTCATCGCTGTACGGCTTCCTTTCGCAACGTCACTCTCGCACTCACACTTACAATCTCGAGGGAAAAATCCAATTCACCCAGAGCAAAAGCTCCCAAAAGCGAGATTTTCGAAGATTTTCTCAAAATTTGGCGGCAAAGTGGACCATATCGTGCCAAATTTTGTTTTGCCCCAGTCATCGCTGTACGGCTTCCTTTCGCAACGTCACTCTCGCACTCACGCTTACAATCTCGAGGGAAAAATCGAATTCACCCAGAGCAAAAGCTCCCAAAAGCGAGATTTTTGTGGATTTTCTCAAAATTTGGCGGAAAAGTGGACCATATCGTGCTAAAATTTTGTCTTGCCCCAGTCATCGCTGTACGGCTTCCTTTCGCAACGTCACTCTCGCACTCACGCTTACAATCTTGAGGGAAAAATCGAATTCACCCAGAGCAAAAGCTCCCAAAAGCGAGATTTTCGAAGATTTTCTCAAAATTTGGCGGCAAAGTGGACCATATCGTGCCAAATTTTGTTTTGCCCCAGTCATCGCTGTACGGCTTCCTTTCGCAACGTCACTCTCGCACTCACGCTTACAATCTCGAGGGAAAAATCCAATTCACCCAGAGCAAAAGCTCCCAAAAGCGAGATTTTCGAAGATTTTCTCAAAATTTGGCGGCAAAGTGGACCATATCGTGCCAAATTTTGTTTTGCCCCAGTCATCGCTGTACGGCTTCCTTTCGCAACGTCACTCTCGCACTCACGCTTACAATCTCGAGGGAAAAATCCAATTCACCCAGAGCAAAAGCTCCCAAAAGCGAGATTTTCGAAGATTTTCTCAAAATTTGGCGGCAAAGTGGACCATATCGTGCCAAATTTTGTTTTGCCCCAGTCATCGCTGTACGGCTTCCTTTCGCAACGTCACTCTCGCACTCACGCTTACAATCTCGAGGGAAAAATCGAATTCACCCAGAGCAAAAGCTCCCAAAAGCGAGATTTTTGTGGATTTTCTCAAAATTTGGCGGAAAAGTGGACCATATCGTGCTAAAATTTTGTCTTGCCCCAGTCATCGCTGTACGGCTTCCTTTCGCAACGTCACTCTCGCACTCACCTTACAATCTCGAGGGAAAAATCGAATTCACCCAGAGCAAAAGCTCCCAAAAGCGAGATTTTTGTGGATTTTCTCAAAATTTGGCGGAAAAGTGGACCATATCGTGCTAAAATTTTGTCTTGCCCCAGTCATCGCTGTACAGCTTCCTTTCGCAACGTCACTCTCGCACTCACGCTTACAATCTCGAGGGAAAAATCGAATTCACCCAGAGCAAAAGCTCCCAAAAGCGAGATTTTCGAAGATTTTCTCAAAATTTGGCGGCAAAGTGGACCATATCGTGCCAAATTTTGTTTTGCCCCAGTCATCGCTGTACGGCTTCCTTTCGCAACGTCACTCTCGCACTCACGCTTACAATCTCGAGGGAAAAATCGAATTCACCCAGAGCAAAAGCTCCCAAAAGCGAGATTTTTGTGGATTTTCTCAAAATTTGGCGGAAAAGTGGACCATATCG